CCTAGCTCAAGAAGGAGAACAAGAAACTACATTGGGTCCAGCAAAAGTAAGTTTTGTAGTACAGGCTCTACTGCAGCAAGAGTGTTTTCAACTGAGAGAAAACAGAATCACAGCAGAATCACAGAGCAGAATCACAGTTCTAAAAGTACAATACTACATATCCATCACAATTGTAGTATAGGCTCTACTGCAGCAAGAGGGTTTTCAACTGAGAGAAAACAGAAACACAGCAGAATCACAGGGCAGAATCACAGTTCTAAAAGAAGTACAATACTACATATCCATCACAACACTATTGGAAATAAAAAGTTATATCAGCATTCATTTCAGCATTGCCAAAAATCTTTTTTTTTTTTTCAAATTTTTTTCTCATCAACAGAGGCAACTTTGTAGTCACTTGAAGGTGTTAGACAATGTGGACCATTTTTACTGAAACCGATGAGCTTTTGCATTCTGAATAGGCTGCATTCTAATTGAAGCCTTTCTAAAACACCAATTTTAAAAGAAGAAAAAGGAAACCCTACATGAATGCAGGCATACATACACACACAGAAACTAAAACTGGTGCTCATGCAGTCCTATACAGCCCAGGGAAAGTTGATAAGAAACAATTCACTTAACTTCAAATAGGTCAGGAAACTGAAGCAATGACACCATTCCAATACCCACAGTAAGAGGGTACCAAAACACCTTATTTAAGGCATGATTCCTAAACAATGTTGATGATATAATGAGTGTATTTAGAGTAGTGTAGCTGGCCAATAACCTCATTTCTATCAGTTCGCCATTATTCTGCTCAATCCAACCAGCAACTCAACAAATATAATGACAGTTCTGTGTCTGTGCTAGGACTCCTGGAATTCACCGCCAGGCCCAAGCCTCTATTATTCATTTCTACAACGTTGTGAAGGGGTAGTAAGTTCTACTAAACTTGAAACACTGAAGTGTGAGGAATTGAGACACCGAAGCATCCTAACTGCTTTAGCCCAGATTTGGAGATAACTGTGAGGGGCCCCAAGCAGTGAGTTCCTCACAGCTCGTGGGCTGCACTGCTCCCCTCTCCAGCACAGATATAAGCAGCAGGTGTGGGACAGTGACCTTGTTACTCCACAGAGGCAGGTCAGATCCTGCAAGAAGTCCTGATCCACACTCAGTGCTGCATTAAAGTGTTTATGCTCTTTTAGGGCCAATTCTGAAGCAATATGAACTTGGTTTTGGCTTGAATACATTATTGAACAAATAAAGAGTGCAAGATTTGCTAGTTCTCCATGGAATCAAATTCAGGTATATCTGCATCTGTACTGCACTTAACACACAACCATACTAAGCAATTCAAATATTAGCACACATTCCATGGTCATATTGCAGTAAGCTGTTCTTATGACTACAGCCCCATTTTAAGGCAAAAAAGTGACATTCCTCATAACTACTGCTTATCAAGTTGAGATTTTCTTTTTCCTTTTGAAGTTGAAACAGATGTGGTTACAAGTAGTAACATCTCCTAGGGAAGGATCTTAAATTTGAGGGGTCCATCGTGCAAATATATCAAAAGTTATTTATCTTTCATATATATTATATGTAATTATATATATTCATTCTGCTCTTACCATGTGTATATAACTTGTATATAGGGAAAAACTGTTCTGTAAAGAAATAATACTCTCAAAGCTTCGAAGTATTGAAAAATAATTTTCATTTGAGATAAATATCACCTTAAGTCTGCATGTAGTTATCAGCAGCCACAGAAAACTACATACGCAGCGAAGGTTTAACAAGTACTTGCCTGTACTGTCTGTCTAATAAAGAGTATTAAATAGACAAACAAACAAAAATCTACTTACACTGTCAGCTGTTCATCCCATTTTGGATTTGAAGAACTACTTGATTTTGCTGTTTTCTTGATTTCCCCATCTGCAGTTAATTCCGTGTAGAAAGTTGTTCCAAACCAGTTCTTTTTCCGTTTCAGTTTGGCACTAGAAACTAATAAAATGCATTGCTTTATCTACAAGAGCACACTTCTTGGTGGGAAACAGAAAAGGTACAGCCTACACAATTTATGACACATTCCTCACCTCTTCTACTTCTGAGGAACATACGCAATTGCCTGCCTGATTATTAGAAAACTCTGCGTAGGAAAGTTTGAAGCACAAAAAAAGTGTTAAGAGGTCAATGCTACAATAATAGCTTCCACTTTCAAAAAGGTATTTATCAGGTAGCTAAAAACAAGTGCAGCATATTCTCTTCAGCATTTATCTGCAGGGTGGGTTAGAGAGCAAGCACAACCACTGTAGAAAAATATACTGAGAATCCTGTCGTTTCTTTTGGTTTATTTTCTCATTAGTCCTTCTCTTCTTGTTTTTAACTAAAAAAAATGGCTAAGTATGATATAACAGAGATTATCTGGCAGATTATTTTTGCTCTCTTTTTAAACAGGAGCTTTAACAGTGCACTAAATTATACGTAGATGTGGAAGCATACCCAGGTCAGGGACAGTTCGAAGCTTCATTCATTGCCTAGCACAGCCTGCGTGCAGAGCTGCAGCTCCCTGCCCACGCTACCACTGTGGTTGGACACATCAGCTTGTTGAAGGACAGAAATCAGTTCTTACATTTCCCCCATTTAAAGAGATTTGCAGACGAACTTGAAGTTCAGTACAGTGTAAATCTTCAACAATCAAGATACAGCACGCAAGCAAAGAAGCTATTTTTTACCTCCAAATCACTAGGGAAGTCCTCAGTGCTCACCACAAGTTGTTCTCCCACTTCCTCACCCAGCTGATAATGTTACTATAAAAGCCAAGAACAACCTGACTGCCAACATTTTCTACTCTATTTCAGGCATGTACTTCGGAAGACACCCGTGACGGACTCACAGCTGTACATACCTGCTGACTCTGCCTTCCTTCTTAACCCTCCCATATTT